AAAAGTCCTATTAGACATGGTTTGATCATCCACCCACACAAATAGTATACTATATAGTAATTGTCAAATAAGTTGATTCAAGAACTGCCAAAAACAGGGTAAATCTCTTCCAGATGTACATTGCTACTAAGGTGAGATTTGAAAAATAGGTTACTAATAATCCCTCAAGTGATGAGTTACAATACCAGTAGTCTTGTACTATGATTCTATCTTACAGATTTAGGCAAATATTGAATTCTAGTCTATGGTATATTCTTTTTCATTCAAATTAAGATCTGTCTCCTCCATTCTGGAAAAAAAAAAAAGTGCTTACAGTGAAATTACCACTCCTCAAAAATACCTCTGTTCTCTTTAGTTTCCTGAAGACCTTGATATGTGTCTATGGTTCTCTAACCTTTTTCTGTTTTAAGCTCACTTCTATTCTTTAACATTCAGTAAAGCATTATTAGAATGAAAGCAGTCTCTTAATAGGAAACTGAATAATTTCCATACCAAGCAGTTATCAAGCAGTTTTTTCTAAAAATTTTATTATTCATATCACTAAGGATATTCTCTGATAGTATTTGAAACAATTAAATATAATGGAAAATGTTTGTCCTATTTACTGTTTCAATTTGCATTATGCTATAAATTTGTTGCTGTCTGGGGTGAGCACTGAGAGTGTTTTAAAAATGATTTGATAGATTAATAGCGCACGATATTTTGGCTATCTAAATTTCGCAACTAAAGTTTAGTTATGAGGAATGAGGACAAAGATCCCTGCCAAGGGGATGTCAGTTTGGCTCTCAGAGGCAAACTTTTCTGACAGTTTCTGTACAAAGCATGACCTACTAGTAACTTCCCCTATTGCTTAGTAATTGACCTCGACAGCAGTGAGAAGTTGAAAGCAAAAGGTATACGGAGCAAACAAGTAATCCAAACGTTCTAAGAAGCAGAAAAACTGAAAAAACACAGTGAGAGTTAAGATTAATTATGTCAACATAATTTTCTTGGGAGCTGTCTAAGAGATCAGTAAAGCGCACTCCCTGGTATATCTGGGTGGTCCTGGAACTGTGACCTTGAGGTCTATATCTGGAGCTTGGCTCCCTCCTCTCTGGTGGTTTTCCCTGTTCTGTTTATAGTTCACCATAACATGAGTAATTTTTCTCTACCAATCCTCTTTGCCATGATGTTCTTGCTTTAGAGCCAACTGACTGTGAAGTAAATGTTCTGAAACCGGGAGCCATACTAAACCTCTTTAATTTGTGGGTGTTGTTATTATGTCTCAGTGACAAAAGATGATTAATACAAACATACATTAGAACGAACAGTATTCTACTTAAAGACCAGTTCTTCCTCATTTGGGGGAAAAAAAGCTGTTGGGCTTATAAATGCACATTTGAGACAATGACAAAAGAGCCAAAACTAGGAAATTTTGCTCATCTGCTCATAGGAATATTTCTACGTCAACATCAGTAGCAGTTTTTCCAGGGAGGGATGTATGTCAAATGAACAGAGAAAGCAAGTGAGTACATCTTTCATTCACACCTGGTTCATTTATTTTTGTTTATGTAGTTACCTAGCATAGGTACTTTTCACATAGTTGAGACTCAGTCAAACATTCATTCATACAACATATATATAGCATCATATTTTCATGGCAAGGATAGTACAGTGCAAACTGCCTCATGGAGCTTGCATTCTGCTATCACCAAGATAATTGTATTCTCTGGCTGCAAACTGCAGAATCAGTGATCATAAAACATATTCATAAAATGCCCAGACTCAGGTCCCAAAGGACTGCAGTTTGAAAATGTGTTCTATCACTTACTTACTGTGTCACTTTAGGCAGTTGCTTAAACATTTTGGGCTTTAGGTTTTTTTATTAATAAAATAGCAATCTAGTAATGTGCTGCCAAAGCAAGCACAAAATAGCAATTTAATATGAGTTAATAGATTAGCTTGTGTGTGTGTGTGTGTGTGTGTGTGTGTGTGAATGTAACTGCTCAGATCATTGTGTGGCAAAAATGAATAGCATATATTGTCAAGTATTGTTCTTGTTAAGAAAAATTGTTCTAAATTGAACACTGGATAAATGGTCTTTAGAGTAAAGCATAGATGCTATAGAAATCAAAAAAAGCAAAACTTGAGGTACCAAATGTGAATGGATTATTAATGTTGGTATTACTTGTTCAAAGAAGATGATAGAAGGCAAGTGAAAGCATAACTCAGTGGTACTCTGGTTACTTATATCTCTGCCCAAATATCCACATCTGTGAAGAAGGACTTATAGAATAACTTTTTTTCACAGCAGCTGTATAAAGATTAAGGAGATGATGTGTGCAAAGTTTGGCACAAGGCCTGACTAAGAGTAACCATTTATTAAATGACTATTGCTGTTGCAATCTGATTACAATGAATCAACATCACTTATTTAGATGGAATTTTTAAAGGATGAAATTTAGAAATAATTTAGCATAGGTGTTGCCTAGTTTTTCCAGCTTTTTCATACCTTCAGTTTTAATGGAATGTTAATTTTAAATCATGTTATTTTTTAGCTAGTTTTTGTCATTGGATTGAAATTTCAAAAGGACTCAAAGACATTTTTATCCGAGTATTTCTATAAACCATTAAATTTTAGTCTTATAGAAAAGAAAGCAAGGATAGGTTTAGGAAATGTAGCTACATTTGTTCCTACTTTATAAACAACTCATTGAAAAAATCTCTTAATTCATATTAAATGTTAATGTTGTACCAATAAAAAGGAGACTTTTCCAGTAAATTTTATCAGCCTTCAATTTTTGTTATTAAAAAAATTAAGAGATTTTTCAACTGGTTATTTATAAAGTGGGAAAAAATGTAACATCCTAAATCTATCCTTGATCTCATTTTGATACATTTTCAATACTGTTTATGGCTTAATGTTTGTATTTTTGTGTCTTTTTTTATAACTGAAATTTGCTTTCTAAAAAAACCTCATATTTTGTTTTAAAAACAAGATTTTAATTTACTTCATAAAATAGGTTAAACTTTTTTCCTTATTTTTCTATTCTTTAAAATGATTTGTTTCTTTTTTTAAAAAAAGTAGGGTAATATTCTCTATTCACTGAATTGTTGATATCATTTCTTCAGAAGTATCTAGGCATAGTATATATTTTTAGTTGTCATTTATAAATTCAGTTTTTGTAACTGAAATCGTTGTTTTTTTCTTGTGCCAATATTGGTACTTCTACATTGCCACAAAAATACAATCAAAAATTCCATTAAATCCTTCCAATTTATTAGCATAAAATTATTCGAGTCATTTATAATTTTAATCTGCTTTAAATCAATAATGATTTATTCTTTTGATATTAAATTTGCATCTCTCTTTTCTGCTTAAAGTTTGTATTTATATTTTCAAAACTTTTGACATTATTACTCCTTTCAGATTTCTGCTCTCAATTTCAATGATTTCTACCTTTAGCTTAATTTTTCTCCTTTTTATTTCTTCAGCTCTGTACCATTGTTTTTTGTCTATCTTTTGAGTTGCCCAATTCATTCGTTTCCCCAAAACTACTTAAACTCATAAATTTCTAAGTACTGTTTGAACCACATATCGTAATGTTTGACATATAGTATCTTCAATGTTCTTTCTTCCAATGAATGAGATTTCCTTCATAATTCTTTTCCTTATTTTTCTCTGTATTCTAAGAGTTAACATATATATACAGACATCTACATACACGTATTAACTTTCATAATATATGTGTATTTGTTGTTGTTGTTTTCTATTATAAATTTCAGGGCTGAAATTAACTTTGACAATAAGATATATTGACATTTATTCCAATAATTGTGGTCTAGGAGTACTCTAAAATGCAAGGTCCTGAAACTTTAGGCTCAAAGTCAAGCTTTACTACTAAATAAAATCATATGCTTTAAGAATAACTACCTAGCAAAAAAATTAGTTTTAAAATGTGCACATAAGTTTAGATAATTAAGTGAAGGGTAATTTATCTCTTTTTCTGAACATTAGACAGCTCTCTATCCTAGTTTTAATCAAGATTTCACAATATTTTAATGACTGTTAGATCAATAGACCACATTTTGGTAAGAAGAACAATATTAGTTTCAGTGACTCAGTAAGAACTTGTGAAAAATTTTGCAAATATATTCCATATTATATCTTTGTGTTTTATTCAAAAGATTCATTGAATGCCAATGAGGGAAAACCTAGAAGACACTTTAAAAAGCAAGAGCCTGGGCTGGTCTCTTTGACCACATTTGCTAAAATTTGTAAGAAACAAATGTTCTCCATGTACTATACCCTTTTTTCTGAGAATCTATTTATTTTAATTTTTGTAATAGTAATATTTCATTGCAAAAAAATCTTTTTTAATGTCCCAATATCACTGTAAATGAGAATGTTGCTCTAATTTTTGATTATTATATCCTGGTAGATTATTTTAAAAGAAAATTATAAGAAAACAGGATGATAAAAATTATTAATTTTCTAGTTTATCTTGATACGTTTGTGAAGAAAATCTTAACATTTTCCTTTAAAAGTTTAGTTTTCTACTGAAAACTAAATATGATCTACATATGATCTACAAATTTATATGACAGTCTCAATATGCTAATAAATAAGTGAATATATCAGCTGAGAAATGTTTGCAAATGTGATGGAGTATCAAAATACTAAAAATTTTAGCCATAACTCTATCACTCTATCTTGTTTCAGTTTTCAACAAGCAAATAAAGAAAAAAAATGTAACTTGGGTTGAAGATGTGCCATTTTATTTAAAACAAATTCTGGTTTATTATTTGTAAGGAAGAGTTTCTGGGAAACTTCTTCTTAAGAACAATTTCTTAGCTTACCTAGAAATTGTTTTTCTCTTAACAATCCAATAAAACTCTGAGAAAGAAAGCAGTTCATTTTGTGATTGTGTTCTCAAACGTACCATTTGTTTCACTTAAATTATATTTGTATTTCTCTTTTTTCCTACACTTATCTTCCCTTATCTTTTCCTGTTCCACAGAAAAAATTATGACATCAACATCCAAAGGAATCCTCCGGCCATTTTTAATTGTCTGCTTTATCCTGGGCTGCTTCATGGCATGTCTGCTTATTTACATCAAGCCTACCAGCAGCTGGATCTTCAGTCCAATGGAGTCTGCCAGCTCAGTGCTGAAAATGAAAAATTTCTTCTCCTCCAAAACTGATTATTTTAATGAAACTACTATTCTGGTGTGGGTGTGGCCATTTGGGCAAACCTTTGACCTTACTTCCTGCCAAGCAATGTTCAACATCCAAGGATGTCATCTCACAACAGACCGTTCATTGTATAACAAATCACATGCAGTCTTGATACATCACCGAGACATCAGTTGGGATCTGACCAATTTACCTCAGCAAGCTAGGCCACCCTTCCAAAAATGGATTTGGATGAATTTGGAATCACCAACTCATACTCCCCAAAAGAGTGGAATTGAGCACCTGTTCAACTTGACTCTAACCTACCGCCGTGACTCAGATATCCAAGTGCCTTATGGCTTCTTGACAGTAAGCACAAACCCATTCGTGTTTGAAGTGCCAAGCAAAGAGAAGTTAGTGTGTTGGGTTGTAAGTAACTGGAACCCTGAGCATGCCAGGGTCAAGTATTACAATGAGCTAAGCAAAAGTATTGAAATCCATACCTATGGGCAAGCATTCGGAGAGTATGTGAATGATAAGAACTTGATTCCTACCATATCTGCTTGTAAATTTTATCTCTCTTTTGAAAATTCAATCCACAAAGATTACATAACAGAAAAGCTCTATAATGCTTTCTTGGCTGGCTCTGTACCTGTTGTTCTGGGACCATCCAGGGAAAACTATGAGAATTATATTCCAGCAGATTCATTCATTCATGTGGAAGATTATAACTCTCCCAGTGAGCTAGCAAAGTACCTAAAGGAAGTCGACAAAAACAATAAATTATACCTTAGTTACTTTAACTGGAGGAAGGATTTTACTGTAAATCTTCCACGATTTTGGGAGTCACATGCATGCTTGGCCTGTGATCATGTAAAAAGGCATCAAGAATATAAGTCTGTTGGTAATTTAGAGAAATGGTTTTGGAATTAATGTTTTCCATCATTTGCACGGGTAGTAAAATTTTCTTGAGGAGATATCATCCAAATATTGAGGAAAAGAAGAGAAACAATATTCTGATTTTGTATCACAATTTATTTTTATCACCCTCTCATGGGTAATGTGTATATTTTGATGGAGATGGAGAATTTAAGTGTTCAACATTACCAATCATTCCATTTGGTTTTAAATTATCCTGTATATACCTAAGTATGTGCACTGAAAAATAATTTATTCTTCACATTTTTATAGTCTGTAAGTTGATGATTCTATTGTTGTTTCTATGCTGATCAACTCTTCAATCTATTTGGACAATGAAGATACATATTTCACAATTTAAAGTATGAAACATTTTTACTAAATATTATAATCTATAATTCCAAGTTTGCATAACGTTAACAAAGGAAGAATGTTTCATAATTACATTCTAATCTATTTTGTTTCAGAATTGAACAGTGTATAACTATTTGATCTATTTTGTACCTGTTTACCACATTGGTAAAGGTAGACTTATTCGTGCAGTGAGTAAGATATGAAGCAGGCCTGTTCTATTCAGGAAGTTATTATGTTTCACGTTTATTTTCATTAAACTGACTTGTAAATGCAGTCACTTATTCTCATGGTCTTGAAGTATTCAAGAATTCTTAAATATCTAATTTGTTGTGATTTTCAGTACCTGGGAAATAATACTAATAACACTTAAAAGAATGTAGGATAGCTCTCAATCAATAATATTCATTGTGATAATAAAACAAATGATTTCCTTAAAGAACAAAAAAAGGGTACCTATAGGTATAAATTATATTTATAAATGGCACTATTTGTGTATAATTCCTAATTACTAATCAATCTAAAATATTTTTGAGGCAATATTTCAAGCAGTTTTATTTTACCTTAGAAACAAATAAATACACATAACATTCATAATATTTGAAAAATTCATCCTATCATCTGAAAGTAAATAAAATTGATAATGATATATTAAATATAATAAAGATCCATAGGAAACACACAATGCTAACCCCAAGTAGGATTCAATGAATAAGTTTTGAATGAATTAATGAATGGCATTGATAATCAAAGGATTTTTTTGTTTGCTTCAATGAAGGGACAGTTGTAGCCTGGAGATATTAATTGAAGATGATGTTTTATATACATTTTAGTAATTATACATTTATAGAACACATAACTCAGATCTTCAGAACTTTACAGAACCAACATAACCAATACAGCATGAAAGTTTTGGATAATTTATTCCTGAATTTTTATCTGCCTACAGAATTTCTCCTCCATTAGGTTAGAGAAGGGGAAATCTGGATATAAGCAAAAATATTAAGTGAGAAAAGCCAGATTTTTCAAGGAAGGCATCTTCCAAAAGAATTTCTAATGCCTTTATTCCACTCTTGCCAGATCCATCAAATTTATTAGAAGTTCAGATGGCACCCACTGGGCCCTATTTTTAGTTATTTCAATAATCCTATTACATATTGACATCAGTTGAACTCAGACTCACAATCCTGTACACCTAATAAAAAAATAGCGATAAATTTCAGTTCATTAAGAAGGAAGTATCTCCAACAATCGAGATTGCCTTGTGAGAGAATGAGTTTTCCTAACACTGGAAGGATTTGAACAAAGGAAAATTCCTGAATTGAATAGAGGATTGTCTCAGGTTCATTTCCTTTGCCATAATTATACAGGTAGATGGTGCCTTCTAGGGCCCTAACAAAGATGAAGATGAAAATATACTGTCACTGCCTTAGCTGCCTCAAAGGAGCTTACAGGGAGCAGAAAGATATAGGAAAGCTTCCTTTCACTGTTAGCCTGAATCTATGTCTATGCACATACTGCTCTCTATGGAGTTTATGAGTCACTGATCATTTAATGAAGTAAAAGGTAGCACATTTCCCAAGTTGTTTAGTTCCTTGACATGTTTCTGAGCTGCGAACTTTTTCTACTCATTTGATCTAACATAGATTAACTCTGTATTACCTCTTCTATACACACTTTATTTCTTTTGTCCAGCAAGGAATAATATGTTTTCATGGATGTCCTCATAGATAAATTAAGATCTCACTTACACTTATTTTATTGTTACAATAAACTCATAATTTACATTTATTTCTCATTTTTGTGATCAAAAATTGAAATTTAAAGAATATGTGTTCCTAATAATTTTAGAAAGTTCTTGCTTTCTCTGAAAGCTGAAAAACATTTTGCCCTACTTTTGCTAAAGTAAATAATGATTATTTCAAATTATTGAACTACATGAGGGAAATTGTCTCTATTGGTGACTATGAATTTTAGCTCTTTCTTAGATCACAACTATAATTATATGCTGATAATATGACCCAAGCCAAGGGTATAAGGGCATATCTGGTACATCTATATGTTGAAACCTCTTACCTATCCAAGAATAATAAATTTTCAAACTGCAAGTGCCAAATCAATGTGTCAACTGAACCCTTTAGTTCTAAGTCCATTGATCCTGAGTTTTAGGGCTAGAAGGAATTATAGCAAGTTTACAAACCAATTTTTTTTCCATTGAGTTAACTAGATCCAGAGATGATATTTATTTAATACATATATTCACTCATACACACACTCATAAACATCTGAATATAGTGACAGTAATTAAGATTAGAATAAAAGGGTCCTGTCTCTCCATCATTCCCACCTTATCATAGAAGTGCTTCTGAATTTCTATAAATGTGAATATCTTATTGTCATTATTTAGGGCCTGTAGGATGGTACATTCTACACAAGAACTTCAAATTTGAAGATATTCAATAAATAAAGCATAAAATTTGTTAGTTTTCCTTCTGGTTTAAATATTTTAGAAGTTGATCTTTATCAGAAGAAAACGAATTTTCACTATATTTAAGTGAAATGAAACCATAAAGAAAGTATATGGTTCTCAACAACTTCTTTAATAAATCCTGTAGGTGACAATTATTTGTGAGGACCTCTCATGTGAAAGTTATACTGATTCAACAAAATTGTCTTGCTTTTGGTTATAAAAAAATAATTTTGCCTGGGAATAAATTATGGAAATAAAAAGAAAATAGACCACTTTAAACTTTTATTTCAAAAATATATAAAAAAACATATTCTGTTCTGAATATTCAAATACTAATTATGGTAGGCTGTAATGAAAATAAATACCAAGTATTTAAATAAATAAATACCAAGAAAGACCATAACATTCACATATTTTATGACAGCCATAAATTTGACAATGTGAGGTAGAAACTTTAAAAATTATCCTAGTGGGATACCAATCAGCTTAAAATTTTCCTGTTTTCCATAAAACTCCTGATAATCAAGAAAGTAAAAACAAATTCTGGGCTCTTAGAAATCTCAGAGCATTTGAAATGTAAAGTGCCAGAATATTTTGGAATTATTTGCTAAAGTTTCTCATCTCCATTTGGAGGTTATATATGAAAAAAATAGGAACTGTGCTACTGCTATTTTTTCCTGCTTTCAAACTGATTTACATGAGTACTGAGACAACCATCTAGAAATTCTTTTTGTATAAAATAATATTTCCCAAAAAATCTTTAGGTCCTTACATAATAACTGTGTTCGATCATATTTTTTAGTTCCCTTGAGCACTGATCTTATTTAGGGGAACTTCTTAAATTATAACCCAGCTGTTAAATATAACAGACTTCAGAATCTACATGATAAGCACAGTGTCTAATACAGAAGAGGATCTCAAAAATACTTGTTGAATAAATTACTAAATTGTTAGTAGTCATGCAAAAATATTATTAATGTAGTGATAGTATCAGCTTCTTGGTACTAATTGGAGTGATATTTTATATTTATTTTATTGATCAGTTTACTGCCGGAATGCAGATGAAAATCATTACAAGCTTGTTCTTTCCTCCTGAGTTCTAAGAGCCCCCCCAAGAGAAATATCATTGCGAGAAATATTGAAAAGGATTTAGAAATTGATAACATTATATTTAAATATTAATAACACTGTTTCTAAAAGAAATTAAAATTAGTATTTAAGGAGAGTGTAAACTGCAAGCACTATGAACGTTGGATATTTATTACCAAACTATGCACAGAGAGAAATATAGTTTATTTCCTTTTTTACTCCCTAACTTCATGCTATGGTATCACAAAGAGCAATTAAGATGGTTTTGTTTTTCTGGATGTGTGTCAAACAGACACTTTTGTCATATTTTGCAAGTGGGTAAGCTTCCCTACTATCCAAGCTATTCTGTCTCTCAGTAATTCATATTCTATAGTCCATACTCATACGAGAGATATAACCTAGAAATATGAATAATGCTACTCTGAGTTATTAGTTCAACAACGTGTTATTGTGAAAAAGCCACTTAACCTCTCTGGGACTTTTTGTTGTAAGGTTCCTTCTAGCACTACTGCTCTTTAATTAATATATGGATGTATTAGAAAATGAAATTTCAATGGCTATCTCAAAATAATTTTGGGAAGTGAATATTCCAAAGAGATTTTCCTCTTTTTTTCTATATAGACATTTAAAGCATAAAACTGATTATTTAAACTAGTATATGAAAAGAACATAGTATTTGTTCTTTGTTGGAGCTTAAACTATACCAAGTGCTCAATTAGCTAACCCTCCTCCTTTTACTTCTCCCTCCCCTTCGCTCTCTGCCAATGTCTTTTGTAACATATTACTCACTGAGAACTTAATTGATTGCAGAAAAATAAGCATATATTGGGTATTGTTTTAAAATATTTTAGATTTTTGTGTATCTCCAAATTCTTATTACAATAATCTAAAAACACTTGTTGATTCAGAAATTCAGTAGAAACACTTAGAGCAACTTTCAGTGACAATAATATAGTAAAATTTGAGTAAGCCAGATTGAACACATGAAGAAAGTTTATTTTTTAACTCATGATGAATATATGTTGATACATTTTATTTACAGTAAAAATATTTTGCTTTTAAAAACCCCTTTCTAATGTCATTCTCCATTTGTCAGTATTACTGAAAGAATGGTGCATAGGTCAACAGACCTAGAATCATCAGAGGAGTTTGCTAACAATACTGATTCCCGAGTCAGCCCCATGCAATTGGAATCTCTTCATACAAGTTTTTTTTAAAATACTCTTAAAATATTTCCAAAGTTATGCTACAATATTTGGCAAACCATCCTATTATACACCAGTGGTTCTCAAATGCATATTTTTCTTGGGGACTTTCTAGATTAGCTGCTTAAGAATCTCTTGAAAGATTGTTGATAATATATGCTTCTGATTCTCTGAGTCTGAGATGAGATTTAAATTTTGTATTAAATACTGACCCCACATGGTTCTGATGACTGAATCCTACCTATTGAATAGAAAGTATTCGACACTCAAAGGTACAAGGAATTGCATTTCTTTAGTTCACTTGGAATCTTTCTAAATTCAACAGTAAAGTATTTCTCTTCTTCAAGATCCATGATATTCTTTACTGCTAGTTATTTTATGCTTGATCCTGGACTCCCTGGACTCATCAATGAACCTTATGATTTGAAGCAGGTTATTCCATTTCCAGAGATTCTTGCAAGTTGTGAGTGATTGGGAGCAGTAGTTCTTAAGTATGGATGTACAATAGAATTATATTAAGAGGGTTTTTTGTTTGTTTGTTTGTTTGTTTGTTTTTAACTGTTGATATCTAAGCCCTATCTTAGAAATCAGATTCAACTGGTTTGAGGTGGGGCTCAAAAGGTAAACAGTTTTAAAGTCTCCATAGGTAATACTGATGTAAGGTCACATATGGGAGCCACCAGTCTGCACGTGGGTGGTTCTCAGCCTGGAGGAAGTGCTAGAAGAGGTTACACAACTTAAAAAAAAAAAACTCTTTCTCTCCTTAGGTCTCTGACTGCATGTTTATATTTTGCAACACAAAAGACTGGACTAGACATTTACTAGGATCCTTTATAGGCATAAAATCGTACACTTCTGTAATCTGCTAACCCATTGTACATATTGGACAGCCTGTTTTCCAGGGTTTCAAAACTCACAACTTAAAGATAGAAAGGTAATTTTCAATTAGAATGTGAAATGAGTTGTAGCATATACCTGTTAACACAGATTTAGAATTGGACCTAAGTCTGCCATTCACTAGCTGTGTGCAAGTTACTTGACTTCTCCTGCCAGAGTTTGCACCTGTACAGTGGAGGTAACATACTCTTGCTATGCGTTCTATAAGGACAAATGAAATTGTCTTCAAGGATTAAATAAGTGTTTATTGTCTTTCTTTTCTTGAGGGTGTTTGAAATTGCACCCACAGCTCTGAACATTCTGAGCAAATGCTCTACCACTGAACTATATTCCCTCCCCCGTCTATTTTTTCTTGTTTTAAAAGTTAATTTTGAACAATCCAGACATGTATCCTCAAATTCAGGTCTAAACTTAGAAGATGTTAAGTAGGTGAGCAGGTAGCTCATTGAGAATTTAAACAAGCTAAAGAAATAATCTTCAGGAGAAGGGAAACAAATAGAGCATGAAAGCATTTATTCAAATATGTAATTATTAAGTAATGGAAGGGGTGTGGAGAGCTGGCAGCAGTGGTGAAGAGCCATTCTTTGCATTACTAAACTCATACATCATTTTTAAAAATAATTGGAATTCATATAAACCTAATTTACCCTCACTGTTATGAACAATCAGAAAATTAGTAGTCAATTTAGTTTATTATCAGTTGATATAGCCTGAGTCCCAGAAAGCAATAGTAGAAAGAGTCTCAGGGGCCATTTTATTATGTTAAGAAAATAAGACTTAGAAATATGCAACAACTTGACTTTAACCTTTACTTTAGTTGCTCTACTAGCTTAGAAACAAAACTAGTCAATGATAGTTAGAAAAGAATATCAAATCTCCATCTGCTTTTCTTCAAGCAAAAAACAAACAAAACAGATAAATGTTATTTTTAAATGCTAGGATATAAATTCAGTAAATGGGAATGTATTTGTTTAGTGGTGCAGAAATAAAATGATTGTTAGCTAGACTGTAATTAAGACTTTTCTAATTGCTAATCACCTAATAAACAGTTATGAGATGAGCAATCTGAACTGCTCATGG